AATTATATAAAGTTGTTATGATAATTTTGAAGGAGAAAAGATAAAATAATTTATTATTAGAATGGATTAATACGATAAAAAATAAAATTTATAAATATAAGATTAGAACAAATATAAAACTGTAAAATAAATATGAGTACTCCAAAAAACTGGCATACATCTTAAAAATAAGCTCTTCCTCGTAGCTTTTATCGTTTAATTTTTTTATTCATTAGAAAAAAAACTCTTTTTACAATAAAAGCTTTAATAAAATTATGTTTTGTTAAGTTTTTAAGGGGAAGAGAAGTTACAGTGGTAAAAAAAAACCCATAAAATTTGATTTTTATTATGCTTGGTTTGCTCTGAATTCCATTGGATTTTTCTTGAATTTGAGCTGATCAGTTCTCTTTCATTGCATGCCTTGGTTAAGTGATGATATATATATATATATAGGGATTTATTTTTTTCATTTAACATGACACAACAAACTTTTCTACACACACAACATTTTGTGGGACTCACATTTTTTGAAGAAAAAAGAAATTACGGCACGAAAAACGAATCTCTATAACATTACACAATCATTTTTCTTACAACATAACTCTTATAAAACTCATATATATATATATATATATATATAGGAAAAAACATTTTTCAAGCTGCTTGAGATAAATTTATCGCCGGCCACCCCAAAACTACGTCGTTTTGATTATTTATTTCCTTATATTTATTGATTCACCTTTGAATGGTTATGATTCTCTTTTTTTCTCTCTTTTTTTATCACCATTGATCCACCTTTGTACGGTTATGATTTAGTAGCCGGAGATAAAGTTATCTCCGGCAGCTTGAGAAATGATAAGCCCATATATATACATAGAATAATATTTATGCAGTTACGACAGATAAGTTATCTGTATTTACTCCCAAAACGATATCGTTTTGAGATTAAAAAATTAAATAATTATAATTATAAAGACTATTATAACCCAAAAATAAATTAAAATTACAAAAATACCATGATTTCCATCCCAAAACGACGTCGTATTAGGCTTACTGCAGATAAGTTATCTACAATAACTGTAGAAAAAGTGAACCCATATATATATATGACTTTTATATATGACTTTAATACCAAAACGACGTCGTTTTGGATTGAAAAATTAAAAGATTATAATAAAAAGAACCCATATATATATATGAAATTTTATATATGACTTTAATACCAAAACGACGTCGTTTTGGATTGAAAAATTAAAAGATTATAATAAAAAGACTATTATAACCCTGAAATAAATTATAATTATAAAAATACTTTAATTTTCGTCTCAAAACGATACGTTTTAATTTGTAAATAACTTATCTATATATATATATAATGTATAAAAAGTGAACCTATATATATATATATATATATATATATATATATATATATATATATATATATATATATATAGGGTCAGGATCATTTTACACCAGTGTAAGTTACACTCTTAATCTTATCCGTTGATTCCTTTTATATCTAATGACTTAAATTTTTTAGTGATGTAAGCCATTAGATACAAGTGGATCAATGGTCAAGATTGAGTGTAAGACTTCTAATTCTTACACCGGTGTAAGAATATCCTGCCCCATATATATATATATATATATATATATATATATATAAGGGTAGAATCCTTTGATACCGGTGTCAAATTTAAAGTTTGACATCTCATCTGAAAGCCGTTAGATAAAAAAGATCAATGGTCTCGCATGCTTAAAATCAGAGTCTTTGATTTTTTTTTATCTAATGGCTCGCAGATGAGATGTCAAATGATCCTACCCCATATATATATATATATATATATAAAGAAACACACGAAAGTGTTTATGGGAACCTGTGGGTTTTTAAGTTTGTCGTCTGCTGATTCTATGTTTTGTTGTGGTGTTTGAGAAAATTAAGTAATTTGTTAGTTGAGAAGTGTTGTCGTTTGGTTTAGATTTAAGTATCTAAATCCCCTGGAAAAATCAAAAGTGGTTGAAGATGTAGTATTCAAGTGTATAAGCACTCATTATATATCGTTTTTTTTTTTCTCGTAACAGTTTTTAATTTCTTAAGTAGGGGACTGTCTAATTTTTCGAAATACGCTATTTTTTCCATACACATTAACACAATATCGAACTCAAGACTATTAAAAGGTCTTTAACTTAGATCAATACTCATAAAAATCAAAAACTAACTTTTTTTGTATTTAAAATTTGCTATTATTATTGTTAATAAAAAGTAAAATATGTGTGCTTACCAAAAAAAAGTTAAATAGGTGTAGGAGTGGCAACAAAGCTAAACAAAATAAATGATAAAGAGTGATAATTAATGACAATTGACAAAGATCATTGCTAATAAAATGTCTTATTTCTTAAATTTTAATTAACTAGCACCTCCCACATATTCTACTCCCGTGGCTTGGTCAATGATTTTTTTTTCTTCAATAGATGGTGTTATTCCATGTTACATTTTACAAGATGTCACGTGAAATGGTATGCCATGGTCACGCACATATGCAAGATAATTTCAAAATATAAAATAAATATATTTTTCTGGAAAAAAATGGTATTTTTGCCCCAATAAAAACAAACAAAATATATAACTTTTACTACACGGAATTTGTACAAAATGTAAATGGAAGAAGTGAGGCCATTTGTTTGGTCACACCACTTCTATGTTATGCCTCACCATCCTTGTTTCGCCTCCGGGATTAAGTATGTTTTTTCATGATATTTTATATTGAATTAATTTATGAACTTTTGAACTGAGAATTTTATTATAAGGTTTTTAATAATAATAATAAGGGATTAATATGTATCATATTACAAGAAATAACTTTATCATTTATACATATAAAAGTATACGAGGTCTATATTTTTTTTTCTCTCTTTTCTTTTTACATGACGTCATATAATCCCATATATTTATATATGTGTCTAAGGGTCTGTTTGGTTTGATGTATAAGGCTTGATAGTATAAGTTTATACTATACATTATGACATTTTCAGTTATTTGATGTGACCATCGTATAGTATAAGCTTATACAGTAGAATCCCTTAATACATCAAAATGATGTATAACTTAATCAGGTCTAAGAGATGAGATTAAGTCTGATAAGGGGTTAATGTATTAATATTGCTTACAAGTACAATTCTCAAGAACTAATATATCATTTCAATATTAATATATTAAAATAATTTTTTAATATATTGATTTTAAAAATATTATAGATATTATCTTATACAATATCATACCAAATGCTGAATAGTATTAAAATTTAATCAGGTCTTATACAATCAAGCCTTATTAGTGATAAATTATCTCATATGAGGTGATAAATATTAATCTCTAATAATAATAGGATTAATATTTTTCATATTATATGAGATAATTTTATTTTCTATATACACATAAAAGTATGTGAGATTTATATTTTATTTTTCTTCTTTTCTTTTTATATAAACCCACATAAACCCTTCATATTTTTATATATATTAAAAAAAATTATTTTGTACAACAGAAAAAAAAATACTAATCTCAATAATATTGAAACATATCATTAAATTTGTTGATGTAATGGCATAACTTTGAGGGCAAGGGAAGCTTTTTCATTGCTGCTATTTTCTAAATATAATAATATTTTTATCTTTCTTTCACGGGTAAGGCAAGTCTTTCCCAACCTGCTACAATGACTTGTCTGTCACGTGGCACTGTATCCATTCAGTTTTCAAGTATTAAGTAATAAATATTTCATCTTTTTCTGTTTCCTTTTCTTTATTAGATCATGCAGCTTTTGTTTATGTCATAAATAACCACTACCACCTAACCTCCCCTGTAGCGGATGACGATGTTATCAACTCTGGTTTAATAAAATGGAAAAATAAAATAAATCAACAAAGTTGGATATATTAAGAGGCCTTATATTCCTTCATTTTATAATCTTTCATTTGGGATAATATTGCTGACATCATTGATTGTCCATCCATATTATCCCATAATTAGTTTTAATTTAAATTTTAAATTATTCTGAGTTAAATATATTAATGATAAATAATTAGAAATAAATTCATTTTATTTTGGGTGAGGAAATAAATTCATTTAAAATTGACTTAAATGAAAATATAAATATAATTAATTATAATTATCTGTATTACACAAATAATTAAGGGTGCCATAAATTCACCTATAAAACATAAAGCAGGTCACCAGCTACAGAAAGTTTGGCCATCCAACACTGGTCTTGCAACATATTTAGAACCTATTTTATTTATAATATCTTATAATTATATTTTAACTGTTAATTTTCAGTCAATAATTATCATTTATTATAAATTAATAATTATCTAATAAATTTAATTTATAAAAATATAATCGTTGATTGACAAAAATCAATGGTTAAAAAATAGTTATAAGAGATTGTAAACGAAAATAATTTATAAGTATAACATTTTTCTATATAAAATCAAATTAGTTAGTAAAAAAGAAAAAAGACAGCACTTTTATTTTCCCTATAATAAAAAAACTTTACCATATTAGCCATTTATTATAAAAAGAAGGAATTAATATTTAAGGACATAAAATTATATTATTTTAATTAAAATTATTATATTTTATAAAGAGAAAAATAAAAATCATGGTGAAAAAAGGTAAGACTTTTTTTAATTTAAATAAAAAATAAAAAATTAATTTAATTAAAATAACTTTTCCTTTAAAATACAAATATTGTTCCCAAAAAAGAAAAATACAAATTACTTGCCCCTCACGGACCTGAAATTGTTCTTAACTAAATTGTATTTATGGGGTTTAGCAATTTACTCAAAATAAAATCTACTTTATCATATTTTGTTTTGCCTTTTTTTTTCTCCGTGATTAATAATAATAATAATGTTGTTGTTGTAGTATTTATTTTGAGCTTTGACATTTTTCTCATTTAAAAAATTACAACTTTCAATTCAAGTAGCTTTGGAAAAATCAACCAGCCAACAGGTTTTTTTCAACTTCCGAAGTTTGTTAGTTGTTTTTGAAATTCAGGAGCAAACAAGTTTTTCACTATTTCCGCTTTTCTTTTTTTGTATTTTTTTTTTTAATTTTCACTTTCTGGGTTGAGTGAGCTAGTTAAGTTCTGTAGGGAACTGAAAAGAATATTGCTGAAGTGTGTGGAATCACGGTGACAGAAGAGTATTCAGAGTTTGATGTTGGTATGTAAAAAAAATAAGGAGTTTTTTTTTTTTTTTTTTTTCCTTTTATGTACTAAATTTTTCTTCAGTTTTAGCTTTCTGTCTTTTAAATGTTTGGGCAAATGTTGGGTATGAAGCAGATTTATGCGAAAGGGTGTAGTTTATTTTTTACTGTTTTGGAAAAGTCTTTGGTATTTTTGGATGGTTTTTGCTTTGTTTTGATGTGAGGGCTAGAAATATTTGGAATGAATAAATGGTTTTTTAGCCAAAATTTGTGTGAATGATTTGTTGAAATTTGTTATTTTTAATCATGTTTTCAAAAAAAATTTAGCCAAGTGGGTTTTTAAATTCTAAAATTGTAAAATATTTTACGAATTTTTATTATTTTCCTTTTAATGGCTAATATATGTTTTTTCCGTCCTTTGTTAGAAGGTGAATTTCTGGTTTCAGTGCTTGAAAGTTGAAAACTGAGGAATTACTCGTTTTTCGGAGATGGAAACAGAGGAGGGGAAAAAATACTTAGAAAATAACTGCATTTCTTTCTTGTGATTCTGTGGATTGCTGTGATTTTTACAAATTTAATGCATAGTTAAAGTTCGAAATGGATCTCTGCTAATTCAACTAAACACCTCCTTGTGAACCCAAAGTTTGTGTCTTTTGTTTTCTTTCTTCCTCATCTGTGAGAATTCTTTGATGGGTTTTCACTTTGGCTTCCTAGTATGCTCAAGAAAGTTCAATACATTTATGGGTTGGCTAATATACTCAAATTTTTGTGAAGAAATGTGCTGTAATGACCCAATTACTTTCTAAGTACATTCTTTATTGATTTCTGGCTAGCAGATGTTGGTTTGATTGAATAGACCTTTGGAGGGGATAGTTTGATATATGCATGGAAGCAAGAGAAGGTATTAGTTCTGGGGTTACAGTGATAGGGGCAGAAGCTCCATCAACCTATCATGTTGCACCAAGAAGTGAAGCTCCAAGCCAGGGTGCTGTTCCTGAAGCAGCAGCTGCGGCGATTGGTGTCTCACCAGTGAGTGCAGGATTGGATGGAACAGCAGTTAAGAAGAAACGAGGTAGACCAAGGAAATATGGGCAAGATGGGTCAGTCTCTATGGCATTGTCACCATTGCCAGTCTCATCTTCAGCTCCACTTTCTAATGAATTTTCAAGCGGAAAGCGGGGTAGACCACAGGGGATGGAGTACAAGCAGCCAAAAAAAGTTGGAGTGGATGATCTAGGTAATGGGGTTTGATGCTTTTAATGCTAATATGCATTGCTAGTAGTACACAGCAAAATTACATGTTACTATTCATTTTTGTTGTTAAACATTACATTTTGGTGAATTTCGTAGTATCTTTCTGTTTCAGATAGTCAAATTACTTGCTTCTTAAGGTTTGCTTCCTGTCAAAGTTCTAAACCACTTTCCTTGAATACATTAAAAAGCTCTCCTTTTTTATTTGTAAAGCCTAAAAGAAGTCATCCTTTTGTATTGTAGTTTTTTTTTTTAAGTGAGGTGAAATGAATTAATTTTTCAACTTTTATGATATTTCCATGTATAAAAAGGTGATTTCTAATTTCTATGTTAGCCAGGGAGTGTTGAATAACCATTTTATGTTTGTTCTGTAAATATATTATTTCATTTAGTGTGTTTAACTTGTCTACTATGCTCAACATCGGGCAATATCAACAAGCTAGTTGGTTTTTGGTTAAAATTGCTCACACTGCTAAGATAATTCATAATATATGTATCCTGGGATAAAGATATGACTACTTTTATAGACATTATTGCTTATAAGATTCAACTAAGTTCTTTTAATATCTATTGTTGTTACTTCTGTAGGTGACTCTGTTGGTACAAACTTTATGCCCCATATCATTAATGTCAATGCTGGCGAGGTATGCTCAACCGGGAGAGGGAGAAACATTTCTGTTAGCTTTATTTGGTGCATACGAGTTTGCTTTAAATTTATCTCTCAAATCTGCCACGTTGTGGAACTGGTTAAATAAAAAATATATCCGTTGTGTGGAGGGGTTGCTCAGTTGCCTGTTGGAGGGTAAACCTTGCAAGTAGACTAATAATTGCTTGGGCTATCTATCATTTTAAGGAAATATGTTTTGTTACCTTTATCTATTTGTTTATATGGAATGTCATGAAAGTATGGTTCAATTTGTGGTTTCTTATAACTTCTTTGTTTATTTATCTAATACAGAGACAATATATACAACTTGTGTTGATGGCATTTGCAAATTGAAAGAACATGCTATCCAAGTTGAAAATTAAAGAACATAGCTGGGTTATTGTGTTTGGCATGAAACATGTTTTCTTCACTATAATGAAGGATGTAATATTAATGCTATTAAACTTGTTTATTAAAATGGGTATACAATATATAACAAGGATGAAGGATGTATGTAAATAACCTTTATATATGTAAACTGACTACTATTAACTGGACTTTGCGGATCTGCTTTTCTGTTTTCTTTTTCTGGTGTATTGTGGTCTCAAGACATTTTGTTTTTAAAGGGTCAAGCATGCTGTTCTAGTTTCCTCCATGTATGGATTTACCCCTTTTTTCTTTTCATGAGTATTAACTTTTGTTTTGTTAGAGTATAATATAAACCATTAAAGAGACCCTCACCTAACAGCTTAAGCTTTTGGGTTGAATTAGTTCTTTACATGGTATCAGAGCCTTGTGTCTCGGGTTCGATCCTCACCCCCTCCCACTTTCTCTTGTGGAATTTTCTTAGCACAGGTAGGTGAGCCTGTGCATTATCCACCTTTCAAGCCCAGTGGGCTCTCGTGTGAAGGGGGCGTGTTAGAGTATAATATAAACCATTAAAGAGACCCTCACCTAACAGCTTAAGCTTTTGGGTTGAATTGGTTCTTTACATGTTTCATGCATTTGTTCTGACACTTGGTTCTAGATCTGCAGTATAAATTGATGAACAAATGATGGTTTTATGCATTTCTGCTTATATCTGACTTAGATCTGCAGTATAAATTGATGAACAAATGATGGTTTTATGCATTTCTGCTTATATCTGAGTTACACCCATGAAGTCACTACAAATTTAGCTGTAGTCATTCCCTTACCTCGGGCTATATATCTTGTAATGCTAAGTGGAATAAAAGAGAAAAAGCTCAACCGTTTGTAATCAATTCTCCGTTTGACAAAAACAAAAAGCCTTTATTCAGTCATTTCGTAACCATGGTTTGTATCTTGTAACACTATTCCTCTTTTTTGCTGTTTCAGGACATTACAATGAAGGTTATATCTTTTTCCCAGCAAGGACCCCGGGCTATATGTATCCTATCTGCTAATGGTGTAATTTCAAATGTTACACTTCGTCAGCCTGATTCTTTAGGGGGGACTTTGACCTATGAGGTGCTGCAGTAAATCTTCTAATTATTGCATGCTTTATTTTATAATTTTCAAACTTGCCTTTTTTTATAATTACATCTTCAATTTGTTTGAATTTTCTGACTTAGCTAAATTAATTTGAAACATCTGTCTCACTAACAGGACTTTGTTCAGATTTATTTTGCTCTAGTCACAAACTAAGGGGGCGTTTGGTTGAGTAAATTTTTTTGGAATAGTAGAGAAATGAGATAGATAGAGAAATGATTGGAAAGATAGATAAAGTGAGATAGGTAGAAAAATGTAAAAAAAAGTTGTTTGGTGGGGAAAAACTTTACTGGGAAAATTAGGTAACTTTATGAAATCAACAGTGCATTAAAAGCCAGATAACCGGTTTTCCGAAAAATCCCACCTTCAAATTGGGTTTCTAAACAGTGCGGATATCTATGTTTCTCATAAATCCAGACAAATTGGATAGATGGGTTTTTGGTGAAATACGTTGAAACAAACATGGTGTTTCTAAAAGCCATACTTGAGAAAGATAGATATCCCCTAAAAAGCTCCCAACCAAACACCACCTACTAAGTTACTTTGTTAAACAAGCATATATTAATGAACGTTCACAGTTTCACCCTTCCTTGTCCCTATTCCTTAATTGGTTTCATGTTTAAACTTTATATCATTTTCAAGATGAATGCATTATTGTTGATTTCATTGTAGTTTTATATTCTTTTGGGCCAGAAATTGTAGTTTAAGATTGAATGTGGGTTTCCTTGACCTTGATAGACAAGTATATCTCGCTTCTGTTGTTTGCTTTTGTATGCAATATTAATGTCAATGATGTTTATTATAAATTAATTACTTCCTTGAACTAGAAGTAGAAATATAATTTTTGGTGATGTTAATAATTATAGGATTATACCAATATTTATAATCAGCACATAAAATTTTAGAAATTAGTAATGACATCCTAAATTTATTCAAACGAGGTTTTGTAAATGTTTATTGAATTAAGCATGAAGGTGAGAATGTTGAATTTAATATGGCAAAATTCTACTAATATATATAACGTGTTTTGCTAGCCGTTATGATGTTGTCAATAGCAGTTCCAGACAAGATCAGCTTTTATTAAGAATGACAATTTGCATGAAAGAAAGATGATACGATCATAGGGTAGATTTAGAGTAACAGTAAAACAAAGAAAACACTTTGCCGTGCAATTACTATATGAGTTGCTCGTGATGAAAAGTTGTACTCATACATGTGAAATAAATGGAGATTGGTTGTCAGGCGATTAGTCCAAGTTACCTGTACTTGTTTGGATGCAGTTGGAGAGTCTCCTTTGAGGGTGGATGATGGTTGTTGATGGTGGTCCAACAGTGTGCACTTGAGGACTAAAGTTGGTGGTGCACCTGTGAGGATTCCGACGCTCAAGTCAGTATGTGAATAAGGTGAAATATATAGAATAGAAGGAGAATATGTACCTGATGGCCTTGAGTCTCTGTATTTATAGTGTGGAGGTAAGCTGCTATGGTGCTCGTGTGATATGACCCTGCTAGTGGGCTGATAGAGGACACATCCTTGCATAGCTGGAACAACTGTTTTAGGTTATATTGTGGCACTGAGGTGCCAAATGTTTTTGTGTGGTGGAGTGCCGTGCACGCAAGCATTCCTCTAGCTGAGGTGTAAGAAAAGTGCAGCGTTACATTTTGCAGGCCAACCGGTCGGAGTCACTTGGATAGTTGCCACTAGAGTGTCTACAGCGGTCTATTAATTGAGCTGCATTGTTTGGGCCGTGTTAAGGTGGTCGTTTTGTTTGGGCTTGTTAGGGAGCCCAACTTATTGATCCAGGACATCATTATATTTCTTTTATATGATTTGTTATTACAATTTAAAGAAATAATGTTGAGAATAAATCATTTGTCAATATTCTATACAGAATTCCCTCAATAGGAACTCAGTCACAGTTTGACCTGAACCCTAAGCATGAAGTTAGATATTTCATGAAACTTGGGTAAAGGCTTAAACCTGTTGTCATGTTTTTGGTTTTTAACAGGATTTAAGTAGCCATTAGATGCACTCTTAGTTACCGTCCTCATATAATATAAAAAAAGCTGCCGCACCCAGGACTTTTGAAAGCTTGACCAGAGATGAGGGAAACTTGATTTTTAGCCTACCAGAAAGTTCATTGAATTTGGCATAAAACATGATAAATAGGAGGCTTTTGGTGAAACTTTGATTGTTGTGAAAATAATCAGATAGAAGGCCCAAGATTTCAGAATGAGTACAGAATTGGAGTGTTCAAACTATTCTTGATATGCAATGATATGCATGTTACTTAAGTTTAAGAAATTAAAGTTTCCCTTTATGGTCCTAAAATGAATAGGATGGGAGCATTGCTTAGTTTGAGAAGATTCCAGGATTTAGGTTTTGATGTGTAGAGCCCACTAATGGTTAAAAAGAGTTTGGTTTGGCTGGAAATGACTCTGAACAAAAACTTGGCTGTGCATTTGTGTCCTTGATGGTAATTTGTAATTTTGTAGTAGTTCATATTCACTTGGAAATTGTAGTTTTTTGATTGATTATTGATACTGGGTTCATGATGAATGCTATAAAATCTTATGTTTCATATTTTGGAATTTTTGTTTTCTAGGGCCGTTTTGAGATACTTTCATTGTCTGGATCATTCATGCCTACTGACAGACAAGGAACAAGGAGCAGGTCTGGTGGTATGAGTGTTACTTTGTCAAGCCCAGATGGTCGTGTTGTCGGTGGTGGAGTTGCTGGTCTTCTTGTTGCTGCCAGTCCTGTCCAGGTAAAGATTGAACATTCCCTCCCCTATCCTTGCAGTATTCTCAATGTTGAATGTGATGTGCACCTGTTTGTTTCTTGGGAATTTCATTTGTCAGGAATATAAATATAAAAATCATTCATGTGCTTTCACCCATGACATCAGTGGGGGATGATTTCGGTGATAAAGTTGGATTCATAAAAGTCTTTCAATATCCCATATTTTCTGTGATGTTGAGAACTTAGCCAAATAATTTACCTCGAGTATATCCCCCAAACAATAGAGGGTTGAGAAATGAAAGAGGCTAACTTGAATGCCTTAACAAATAAAGGGCACTAGGGAATTTCTGTAGTGTGGCTTCTGGTACTATTTGCTTTGAACAAGTTAGACACATAGTAGTTAATTGCGTCGCAATAGCGCTGCGAACCACGCCGTATGGGCATTGCGGTGCCTCAACGCAAAAAATCGCTCCGCGTCGAATCGGAACGCAACAACGGCCATTGCGATCGCAAATCGCAACCATATTGCTGTCATAAGGCAAAATGTCAATTTTTCCTAAATTTAAATGTGCAACAGAAAATATTTAAGGGTTTTTTAGTCTATTTGTGTCTCTTTCTGTCACTTCTGCTATCTCTACCTTTAAAAAATATTTTTTTTTGTCATTATTTCTGTCATATATCTATTCTGCTATTTCTGCAACCGCAACCCGCTATAGCGCTATAGCATTTTTCGGGGTTGACCGCAACATGCCACAATCCGCATTTGATAACTATGGTTAGACATAACATTTCTTCCTCAAATGAAGCATCACTTAGAATGCCTTATGTCCTGTGTTATATCAGGTGGTGGTGGGAAGTTTTTTGCCAAGCAACCAACAAGATCAAAAACCAAAGAAGCCCAAGTCTGATTATGCAACAACAACAACTGTTACCCCAGCCATTGCAGTATCTTCTGCACCAACCCCAACTAATGGTGAAAAAGAGGATGTCATGGGTGGACATCTAATGCAAAATGCTGGAACTCTTAACTCAAACCTTACTCCTCCATCCACCTTTAGAAGAGAAAACTGGGTTAACATGCACTCTATGCCTGACCCCATGAAGTCTGCTACTGATATTAACATATCTTTGCCTGATAGTTAAGTTGATAATCAACATGCAATCAAGTATTCTTCTAGTCTTGCTGACAACATTCATGACTGAGCTACTTTTTTTTAATGTTTCCACTGTTGTTCTCTATCGTGGAGATTGTTTCAAACCTATTGTCTATTGTCTATGACCATAGGATGAAGTAGTTGACATGTGTTGTAAGTTGCAGCTAGGTTTCTACATTTTTCTCTGTCTAGTAGAGTATCTGATTTCTCGGCTGATTGGGTAGATGCTGCAATCTGAAGCATTATGAGTAGGCTAATTCGGATGTAATGAAAATTTGTTTGACCATTTATGACTGAATTTGTTGAAGCTTTCATGTCCCAAACTAACCATTTGCTTTTGGTGGTGTTAATTTTTGGAAACACTCATTTGGTATTAAGAGCCTCTTTGGATAAACTTTTTTTTCTTCAAAAGTTCCTTTTTTTAAGAAAAAAAAAATACTTCTAAAAAAAAGTCTGTTTGTATGCCTGCTTTTAAAAAAAAAACAGAAGTCATAAAAAAAGTCAAAAACTTAATTTTTTTGAAAGCTAAAAATTTTAGCTTCTAAAAAAAGTAGAAGTCAAAAGCCAAATAGTTTTTTCAAAAATCAAATATTTTTCTAAAAATCTAAATAGCCGTAGTTTTTATAAAAAGTACTTTTAAAATAAGAAAGTGATAAAAAAGACTTTTTAAAAAGTGAATACAAACGGCCTAAGTCATAGACAACAAATATTCACTTAAATCTTCACTGGCTTTAATGAGTTTAATGTTTATTTGAAAATTCTAGATTTGGCATATAAGATGCAAAAATGTAGGCAATAAAAAGGTTGGTATTTTAACTTTTAATATTTTTTAGTGCTTGCCAACTATATGTTTATTTTTCAGTTCAATTATTCTGTTGATTTTTGTAATTTTTATTCAGCATTTTACATAAGAGGGTGAATAACGGTAAAATTGTTTCTTTGTAATTAAAATATTACGGGTTTGAATTTGAGAAACCATTTCTTTACAATTTTATAAGAATAAGACTGCGTATAAGGATTGCTTATTTATTTTTTTAATAAAAAAGATGACATCGTTTATCACTTCCTACTAGAACCACGTTGGAAAAAGGAGATTAAACTTAGTAAGAGAATTTTTTTTTTTTTTTTGGAAAATCAGAACAGGATTGGTCTGAAAAATGAGTTATTAGTATAGGTCTTGGTCTATATATTTTTCAAATAAGATTTTAGTCTATATAGTTTATCTCCCATTTTGGTTTTGGTTCTTATAATTTTTTTTAACATTTGATTATTATATTTCCCCTCATTTGAGTTTTTGTCTCTTATTAAAATATCATTCTCATATTTTTTTTTTTTACTCATTTAGATTTTAGTTCGTATAATGAAAAAATAGAAAGAAAATAAATAGATATAAAAATTTTGTGTGATGAGGTCAGGTGAATTTTTAACATAAGATGATCTATTCCTCTAAAAACAGTACTTTGTTTTAACCTGATTTTATAAGTAGGTTGGAAGACGCCTTTATACAGAGGGACTTCTTAACCTTATTATCTTTAGAAAATAAAAACAAATTATAACCTAATGGATATAATTTAATTGGCAATATATGCTGAATAGAGTGGAAAAAAATCTAAGTTTGATTCCCATCAAATACAGGAGAGGGGCAATGAGCTTTATCTGTGATTAAACCCTGATTTAGGATTAATTACATAGTCGATTCAAAGAGTTGAAGTTTGTAGGAATATCTGAGCCGACTCGTCTCAAAGAAGTAATTAGGGTCAATGTAAAAAAAAAAAAACAAATTACGTATTTGTTTAGATTAACTTATTTTGTAGTTAAAATAACTTATAATTAAAATCTTACTAAGAGATATTAAGTAAACCTAAACCAAAATCGTCCATGCTAGAACGGCTTTCTAAAATAAGAGTGTTTAAATGGAAGAGTTTATCTAGATATCCTTCTTTCTTGTGAGAGATTCGACATCTTTCAACAATTAGTTGTTAGGTGTTTCAATTACTTGAAATATAAACACAATACATATATTTTGTATTTATATTTTAATTAAATAAACAAATGGTACAAAAGGAATATCCATCTTTCAATACATATTCTGATACATATCCTGAAGACGAATAAAAATAGTGTATCCTGCCTTAATAGCATTAAATAAAAAATGATTTGTGCTATAAAGCTTGTAAGGCATGAAAGAATCGTGTTAGCCACCCAAGTGTATTATGGGGCAGAGGTTGCTTTTGTGTCCCCGAAGGTACCTTGGTTTATCAACATTAACTTAGGATTAATCTTCAAGAAGAAAACGTAAGGTTTACTTTTTTTTTTTTTTTTTTTTTTGGTACATTGCCAGGAGGTATCCTCATTCAACCTTTTCCGGGCACCATGCCCTCGGGGTACGGCCCGTTTGGGCTAGCCCCTCATTGTAACAATGGGTGCACTAAGCTTCACAACCAGAGAAAGGACTAGACTAATCCCCCAACCGAAGATTTTTTAACTTATCCTCTACCCCCAAAGATTTTTCAAAAAATTGCTTGATACAGGGTTTGTTATACACATATCATCTGACCAATACTTTGATTCTGCCACCTAATGAATAGATTTGTTGGGCCTTGATAATGTGCAAAAATACATTATCCTTTCAAAACTTTTAGTAAGTTGTAAAAAATATTAAAATTATACAGAAACTTAACAAAAATTTAAATAAATATATTAAAATCTTTGGTTCATCATTTAAGGAGAAGCCAACACAATTTTGGACCACTGAACTTTTTATTGTGACGATTCTGTAATTAAAAATCCTGTGCACTGATATTTTTTCTCATTCTTTTTGTAGTAGCTATTGTTTCAGAAGTTTCAATTCATATGTCATGATTTGATTTTGTTGTGCACATAAAGCAGCATCATTAATACAGAAAAAAATGTAAATATTCGGTGCCTTTAATTAAGAAAAAAAAGAAAGAGAGAGAGAGTATATGTGTTCCTGACAGGACACATTGTCAATTAACTGTGGTAATTATTTATTAACTAATAATGTGATTATATAATGGGTTATGTTTATCTCATTTTACATGAGATAAACATATCTCCTACACACACAAAAAGGAGTTGGGTCCCACCATTTTTTTTTCTCTCTCCTCTTATATGTGGGTCCCACTTATACTTTTATTTCTACAACATGAGTTAATTCTTTTCCTACAACATAAGAAAAATATATCCCTTATATAATACAGGAAACTTAATTGCACTAGGCTTTTGTAAGCATTTCTCATGCATTAATAATATACTATCATGGACGGTATCCACATTTTTCACCACTTACAAGTACTTATTAGTTGTCAAAACATTTATGAGAAAAATATTTCTGCAGTTAATACAGATAAGTTATATGCATTTACTCCCAAAACGACGTTTTGGGATTGAAAAATTAGAAAATTATAATTATAAAGATTATAATAACCCTGAAATAAATTAAAATTACAAAAACACCATGATTTTCGCCTCAAAATGACGTCGTATTGAGCTTATTGCAGATAATTTATTTGCAGTAACTGCAGAAAAAACGAACCCAACATTTATTTATTGTTGGTTACATTTTATAAACTTTAAACATTTATTATGAGAAACAACAACCAATACATGTTTAACAAATCAACAAATCATCAAGGTCGCAGAGCCCTGGAAAAAGAATTAGGATATTACAACTCTCATAAATAACGTTTAAACCAATCAGAAAATGTTATTGTCAGTGGTCTTTGGTGCTGTTGCTGCTACAATGGTTTGCATGCATAGGCAGCAAATGAGAGTAAAAATATGCATATAACACAGCAGTTTATGTTTGTACCTAAACCACTAGGAGCTCCGTTTTCTCTCTTTCTTGCTTAAAGCAGCATTATGGATTGTCACATGTTCCTCTCTAAGGAGCTCAGTCCATCATAAATGGCTCTAACCATGGCTCTTGCCCATGGAATTTAGCTCACACAATGGATTTGTCCACAAAAGTATTGAATGCCTCAGCCTGTAACTTCTTTGATATTTTCAAGAATTTAATTAGCTGATATATTTATACAAAGAATAAATTAACTTTCTAACACAAAGGAATAGGAAACTTACAGCAGGCATGGAAGGTAAGTCACCAGTTAATGCACATCCTCTGTAAGGGTCAATACCAAGCTAAAACATATTCGCATGAGAGAACAGTCACCAACTTTTCCTTTGAAATAGTACAGGAAAATTCACAAAAGAATGCATTTCTAATCACAATACCTCAATATAGAAACGACAAATAGCCCAAGAAGATGTGCAACTTTGAACAACCGCTTCTTTTTCTCCCATTTCACCTTATTGTAGATTTCAGTAACATCCGTTAAGTGTTCTCTTTTAACGTACCTGATATTGGATTCCAAGTCATGATGTGTACCAATATGCTAGAAATAATGTGCATAGGTAATAACTGCTTGTATTTTAGACATAAATGATTGAAATTAACGATGCTTTGTAGATTCCATTTATTTTCTAATACAGGATTACACTCTGCTGCAAATATCCATCTTTAATGGCAAGATGTTACAAATTTTGGAATCAAATTTGCAATCTAATTATTCATATCATTTGAATTTCAGCTGCATGCTTAAGATACTTTTGGGATGGCAGTGCAGCCTATTCTTACACATTTAGGAAACAAAACCTCATGGCAGAAGGTTAAATTTCCATCTCCAATTTATTTCAGACTATAATCTAAACTACGATTCAATTTCAACTGGGACAAAACTTTAAAAGTTATGCAACTAAAATTCTGATAGTCCTTGATTTAATTAAGTTTCTAATAATGTCTTCTAACTTATGAGTTGACAGTCTTATATATATATAAAGTATTTGAGGATTTTCATGATGATTACGGCCAGAGTCCTAGTGTCTTTTCAACGTTCAAGGTTATCCCTCAAATTAAAGTGTTGGAAACAGTTCCAACAACCACTTGAAGTTCATTCTTCTTTCATTTTGCAAGTGGAAGCCCTAGAGTCTAGACAACACCCTTTACACACCATTCAAACCCTTAAATCCCTTAAGTCATGAAATTGCCCCTCAAACAATGTTTTGCATCCCAAAATCTCAGCCACATATACATTCCACTTTATTGAGTTTTGCTACCAACCTACTCAAGCCCTAAATTAACACAAATTCTCCCAATAAGAAGATTGAGAAGCCTACTGAAACAACATTCAATAATTTAAAATTCCAACTTCACACAATTATACTAAAGAGTATCGAGTTATGGTATGTGGACATGAAAGCGAATTTTATGCGATAAAATTGATTCAATTACAATTTAAATGCAGCCTATGAATGCCTTCATACATTGCTCCAATTTATGTTTCATGTGAAAGAATTTAAGAAGAATTATTTTGTCTTTTTATCAACCTTTATAGTCTATAAGGTCTGAAGATATGAAATCAGATCTGCTCCTTTGGTTTTATCCTTCCTTGTATGGATATAATAAGATCCAGCAGTTTAACATGACTGAATTAATAACATACACACTTTTTGAGAGGGTAAGCAGAAAAAACTTACAAACTCAAATCGTAATACAGGGAAGGGAGAGATATCAGGAATATAAACCAATGTCCTGCTATAAGGTTCATGAAGCAGAAGATTCCTAGGGTGATAAACTCCGGCAAGATAACCTGGTTTATCCGAGATGTTGAATCATATGGGTTGATATAATCAAATTCCAGGTCCACCAACAATATAAGCTGCAATAGAAATTTCAGGGGATGTCAAATTTGTTTCGCAAAGTAGTAAGCAGAAAATTTTCTCTCTTGCACTTATAGATGGTTGACAATGATTGAGCTGTAAGTTCAAACTTGGAAGAAAGAAATTTATTGTTCAAAAAAAAAGAAAATGAAATTAAAACTAGCAGTGTATCATACTATCTCAAGCTATGGTTTACAACAACATATTTTATGTAAAAAATCATCTCAACTCAAAACCTTAAGATAATTTCACTAGAAAGTGGGGGGCGGTGAGGATCGAACTCATGACCTTGTGGTCACTGCTGTGATACCATATAAAGAACCATTTCAACTTAAAAGTTTAAGCTAAACACAAGGTAAACCAAAAATTTGGTCTGTGTAATATCCACGCTTCAAGTTCAAAGGACTCTTGCATGAAGGGGTGTGTTAGAGAATAATATAAACCATAAAAAAGGCCCTCACCCAATACCTTAAAGTTTGGGGTTGAATTGGTTCTTTACATTTTAAAAGCCATAGTTTTGGTACTTCATCAATACAAGACATGATGGTAGTTTTGTAGGTACATCTTTAGGGAATTACTACTAGAATACAACCCTATCTTTCTGGATGAGAAAAGTTGTAGAAGAGAAACATTGAAGTAACTAGGAATTAATACAAATTACAATGATGAGATTGCAGAGCTCCATATATCCACTGGAATACAATAATACTCAAATTAAAGTGAAAAGAACTAAGCCATTAACATTTTACTGGGAGAAAAGAAAAAGAAGCTTTCTAAATGATGGCCATTTTCTTTGAGAGGAATGCTAAAAGCCAAAACAGAGAAATGAAGCATAAAAATTGTGAGACTCAAATTAAATGCTCTTAATCACACTTAATCACACAAATATGGTTTTCTTCCATACAATTGTTCTAAAAACCATATACAAGCACAGGGTTAGCACTTAACACTACCGAAGTCTGAAAGGCTCTCAACTTAATAAAATTTTTAAAAGCATGAATATGAAAATAAAATAAGTAATTATTTCAATTAACTAAAAAAATAAAAATAAAATCAGAATCCAGCACCAAATTCAATATCTAACAAACTAGAATATATTGAATCTCCTTTAGAATTGAAATTTTATGCCCTTGTACGCCCGAAATAAATTATTTTATCCATCCAACAAAATTTCTTCCTTTTTCACTTTTTCTTTTAATGGAAAGCATTTAATAGTGAAAAAATAAGCAGAAAAAAATCAACAAGAATTTAAAAAATAATTTTTTTTTGAATTATTCAGATTCAACCAGAATTTAAATATTGGCGATGTTGTTCTGGTTAATTAGGACTACAGAATTATGGTGATCCACAAAAATCGACAAAGGGCATATCAATGAATGCAATCCTTAAAAAAACCAAAGAAAGGACATCGAATTCAAAGAAAGAGTTAATTATGAGTATGCAATGATTAAAGAACATAAGAATGGATGTGAGGAACAAACCTGGTAACCGAGGTTACAAAGAAGTGTCAAAATGAGAACAAACGTTAATATCCAATAAAACACCTCCGCCATAACAGCCACCTCTGCATTCCCCTCTCCCTCGTACTCTGCTTTTCTTAAAAAAAGTTGTCGGTAATTTTTTTTGTAGTGTTTGTTTTTTCTAAAAGTTAGTTTAGATAACTTTATCTAATGTTCATTGAAATGATGTCCTTTTGGAGCAGCAATCATGGTATTTTGGTAATTTTAATTTATTTCAGGGTTATAATCGTCTTTATCATTCTAATTTTTTTATTTTTCAACACCAAAACGACATCGTTTTAATGAACATTAGACAAAGTTATCTAAAGTAATATTAGATACTTTTTTCCTCTTTTTTTATTATAAATAACAGAAAAATATTTCTGCTCCAGTTAATATATATAAGTTATCTGTATTTACTTCTAAAACGACGTCGTTTTGAGATTGAAAGATTAGAAAATTATAATTATAAAGACTATAATAAGCCTGAAATAAATTAAAATTACAAAAATACCATAATTTCCGCCCAAAACAATGTCATATTGGACTTATTGCAGATAACTTATCTGCAGTAATCGCAGAAAAAATGTACCCTATAAATAAATAGGGTAAAAATGATATAATAAAAAAAAAATAACAAAGTGTATTTGACTGAGATTTTAAAGGATTATTTTTGAAAAAAAAATCTGTTGGTAATCAATTATGATTTTAAACGATTGAAATTTGATTAGGATTTTAAAAGATAATTTTAGAGTTCGTCCAAATCAGATGATATTCAAAATTTCAATCAACATTTTAAATAAAAGAAAAACAATCTTATGGTATTTAAAAATCTGATGATTTTAGTGAATTTTCTAGGGGTAGGATATTGTAAGTTTGTAATAATCAACTAGTGTTACTATAAATATTATTGCCAATCAATTTCACCGTTAGATCAATATTATTTTGATCCAATTGTTATATTTATTTTCGTCTTTGTATGGTTATGATTTCCCATATTTAATGCTTTCGCATTAAATATTGAAAATCATAACCATACAAAGGTGAAAATGAAAGCATTAAATATAGGAAATCATGACCATACAAAGGTGAAAATAAATATAAATTATTAAATATGGAAAATCATAACCATACAAAGATGAAAATAAATCTAACAGTGAAATTGATTGGTAGTAACACTAGTTGGTTGTTACAATATCCTTTTCCTTTTAGTGGATTTTCTATTGGTGTGAATTTCGTATGGCTTTTGAGTGAGAAGTACAAATAAAATGTCTCTCTCACAATCTCATCCTAACTCTAAGATTTATTAAGCTTTCTATATTATAGTGTCTTCATTTTCTTTTGCTGGTCGACCAGCTTGAAATTAGGTTCCGTTATAAGAGCTTCGTGAAAGCTCAAAAAATAGCAGATTTTTAAACGATTTTTATAACAAAACAATACAGAAACAACGACCTAACAAGATTCAAATATAATTTATATAAAAAATAGCAAAGTTTTGAGCAATTTTTGAGAGATTTCGGAAGTTTAAAAATGATTTTTCAAGTTATGGGTCGCAATTTTTCTTACCACAAAAATATGTGATTTTTGTATTAAAAATAACATGAGTGGGAAAACAACATGGGAACGAAAATCCCCAGATCAATGTTCGTTTTACATAAAATGAAACAAGATCGATTTAAAGAAAGATTGAAACTTTCATAATATAAACTCTATGTTTCGTAACAATACATTTGTGAACAAAATTCCTTTATTATAGGAAATGATTTCAAACAATTTGTGCCAATAGATAACTAAAAGCTTGTTTTTCAAAATCAATTGAAAATATTTGAGAAATTTTCTAATCTTTCATGTTATAAAACCCAGAAATTCATATTCGAAATTTTCTTAGAATAGTCAATGAAAATATGCATATGATATATGGTTAGAAAACTCTCATTACGTGGAACAAAAATCCCAAGGTTTCCAAAATCAATCGTAAAAAATTTCAAATGGAATTTTATCATGAACTTTATGTTTTATATGCAAATTTTGAATTATTTTAATAAATAAAAAAAATTGTGGGTCTTATAATTATATATGCACAGTTCTGATGCCAAGTGAAGAAAATAATTTTCAACCCATTGATCAAACCCAAGAGCAAGAACGAGAAGATGCTAATGCATGGAGCGTAAGTTACATCAAATTACTGATTGAGAAAATTATATTAGCTTTTATTATTTTTTATTAATATCATTGCATTTTTTTTATTGACTCTTGTAATTTTAAATGTTTGTTAAAAATTTATATGATTTTTTAAAAGGGTGCATCAGATATCTGTTACAGGACATCCTTCAACTCATTTTTAACTATGTACTCCCGAAAATACATAATTGTAATATTCAAGTTACTTTTTTTAATTATGTAGTCCCGAGAATACATAGTTAAAAAATGGTTACAGGAATGAACAATATCATTCCTGCAACATGTTTCTTATATTTTCATTTTTAAAATCTTATATATCATTGTCCTTTTAAATCTTATAAATTATATTAAAATCCTTTAAAATCTGAATTGAATTTTTTTTTTTTAAAAAAGTCCTTAAAGTTACTACAATTCTAGATAGTCTTTTAAAATCTATTAGATTTTTTTATCACGAAATATTCTTTTAAAATCATAATCCAATACACCCCTTTAATTATGATATATTATTAGTTTATTATTTCTCTAGTAATATTTTTATGTGACTGAAACGAAGTCAATTTAAAATTAGAAAAATATTATAATTATTAAAATTAATATAATCTCAAGATAAATATAATCTCAAGATAAATAATTCAATTATGCATTATCTATAATAATTATATAAAAGTTTAAAGTTATTTTTAGTAATGTATTATTACATAATTAAATGATAATATATATTTTTTCAAAATGAATCAAATAATTAAAAAGGTATTAGTGCTCAAATGTTCTAATTTTTTTAACATGATTTATTTTTATTTTTCATTTTGTTATTATCCAATTTTCATGGAGTGATAACAAACATTTGATTAAATGTTTTAAAAGTTTAAATAATAAGAAAAACCACAAACATTCCGTATGTAGAGACAATATTCAAGACTCCTGGCCTTGTGGTCCTTGTTGAGAGAATAGGAAGGAGAGAGGAGAGAGAGAAGAAAAAGGGGAGGGGGCGACCATAGAATAAAATTTCCCGTATGTAGTTTTAGAATTCTTTTCTATTTGAAAGTCAAACATTTTGTCCCATTAAAGTTAGGGAGTGTTTGGTAGAGAATTTTTTTTTTTACCAAAGAAATACAATTACTGGAAAAATTGTGGGAAAGTGATTTTTCAGGAAAAGTTAAAAAAAATTATTTAGTAGATCAAAATATTACTGAAAAAATTTTGGTGTAAAATTGCTACAAGTTTGAGTTTGCTAGGGAAATCAAAATACCACCATCAAAGTGGTATTTCCAAATGGGCATTTTCTTTCATTTTTACACTACAAAAATTTCTCCATCAAAATTTTTGTCCTTAGCAAATTTTCCCTACTCCATACCAAACATGGTCATTTATGAATTCCATCTACCTCTTTCTTAGTATTCTCAAAAAAATCTACCTACCAAACACCCCCTCAGAGAAATAGAAGTATTATGTTGTAGGAAAATAGATATGTCATGCTATTGACACAACCAGTAAAGCACGGACACGCTCATCCAAAAAAAATTTGCGTGTCGGACACGCTCGGACACGCGGTCAACATTTGGGGACACACGGTCAACTCTCCGACACATTGCGACACGTTTTTCGACACACGGTCAACTTTTTCCGAGATGCGGTCAATGCTAGGACACGCTCAGACACGTTTTTTTTTAATCTTAATTTTATTTTGTTAACTAAATATAAAAGAAATAATTTATAAATTAATTTTTTTTCTGTTATGAAATTTGACATGAAAAATTAACAAAGTACGAAAAATTATTTATATTTATGTTATGAAATTTAAATATTTGATTGGTTATATGAGTTATGATGGACTCTTATATATATTAAATATAAATTATATTATATTGGAAAATGTTATAGTTACTACCTCTTTTTCTTACTGCCTCTTACTACTAAATCTTAATTGTTGATTTCCGTCAATCTAACGGTTAAGATTTATTGGATCATATTTATTAATTAATTATTAATTTCCAATAAATCTTAACCGTTAGATTGGCGAAAATCAACGACTAAAATTTAATAGTAAGAAGTAGTAAGAAAGAGAGGTAGTAAGTATAACCTCTCCCATATTATATATATTAAAAATTTTATTTAATATCAAAACGTGTCCCAACGTGTCCAAATATGATATTTTTTAGAATTAACGTGTCGGCGTGTCGTGTCTATCCCGTGTCCAGTGTCCGTGCATCATAGGTTACAACCAACATGGACCTCACCATTTTTAAAGAAAAAAGAAAAAGAAAAGAAAAGGAAAGAAAGTGGTGGGGTCCACATTGATTGTGTCTATAGCGTGACATAATCATTTTCATACAACATATTCTTCTATTTTCCTTAAACTTATTTAACACTTTTTTAGTCCAAATTTCTTTTCTTATTTAAATGTTTTTTTATATCAACCTTTAAAAAGTTATTTTAACTAAAAATATTTCTTATGACCACCTTTTTTTTTTTGGCGCTATTAATCTTCTTTTGCTAGAGAGAAGTTATCTCCAGCATGTAATTTAGGATATAGAATCGTATCCTGAAAATAGGTGACTGCTGCATATAACTTCTCTTTTATGCAGTTGAAGGGACATATATATATTTTTTTTTTTTTGGATCTTCTTGTCATGCGCATTTTGTGCCTTGTCTCATTCCACTAATTCCTCCCACCAGGCAAAACATTGCAATGTTACCCCACTTCACAATTGCATTGCAGCACCACTCTGCAATTTGCACGCTACAATTTCGGCTCAAGATCATTATGCATGTCTATGTTACCGGGGAGGGTGTTCTTTTGTTTCCCATACTTGTGATTCAACCACTTATATTTTATTGTTCTGTCTATAATGTCACTTAATATGTACAACCTTAGCGTCATTCAAGTCTAGTGTGTTAGAAAAACCCATAAAGTATGGTTTTTTTTTTTATCTCAATCCAAGTCCACATCAGCTCCGCAGCCACTCCATATAGTCTGCATTATTTTGTCATGATTATAAATCTAATATTAGTCGGCAGCCTTAAGTAGCTTAAGATTATTCCTTGAGTTTGAGAGACAGCTCTTTGCAAAAACATAAAAATAAGAACGCTTATAATTAACCCTTATTCCTATCCTTATAAGTCAAGCATCCCGGGATTTGCCCTTTATCATAAGGGGTATGTTTTAATCTTGTTGCGGGAGAAAACATATCTTCCAGCTGATACATAAAAGTTGAGCCAACTTTATTTATGTTTTTTTTAAAACGGTGGATCCCACACTTGTTATATCTGCGGGCATGAGATATGAGACTTGTATTTCCCTTATTATAAATATAATAAATTCATAGCAAAAATCATGCATTCCAATTTACTTAGTAAAACAAATATTGTCTTGGTCAAATGGGTTGTGCAATCCTAATATCAAAGAAATGTCATTCTTTCACTGCTTGAGGTTTTTCAGTCTTATACAAAATTATTCCAAAGCGTAAAGCATGCATGTGAAAAACAAACAACTATTTATGCTTTAAGATCCTCATATTGAGTCTTGAGATGCCCATCCTCTCTTTTCCAACTCTAGTCGCAATGCCTATCAACCAGCAAGATGTTTTCATATATAACATCAATATGCATGTAACCATATAGCTACAGAGAACACACACATAATCAGTGAGGAAAGTTTACCTTGATTCTCTTTCTATTCACATCAAAATCAAAGTTTCCAAACCGGGATGCTGATCGATACTCCACAATCGAGTCCTTGTCTGGTGGGAACCAGAACTCAACATCATCCACTAACTGTTATTACAAGTTCAAAAAAATTAAAGCTTGTTCTTTTAACCATCTGAAGCTATAATGTGCTTACTCTATTTTTTTTCTTGGATAATAAGTTTCCTTAGATGAGAGTTACATACATACCCCCAAGATTGGGCTTTGGTACTCCAATCTAAGATAGTCTTCTGTCCTTTCTACTATCTTTGGTGTAAACTTTTCTGGTGGTATTGTTGATTCTATCTGTAAAATCAACCATAAAGGGATACATTCGGACTAAATGATAAACCACAATAAGTGGACCGACACCACATTTCAACCCAAAACCTTAAGGTTGTAGGTTATTGGGTTTTTTACACTTATATGGTCCTCAATTGGTCTGAGTCTAGATTATGTGGGACTTATTTCACCACTACTCATTCACACTTGATTATTTCCAACATCCTCTCTCAAGTGTGAGGCTAATATCATTCTTACCCTTCCAAATACTTAGCCAGATCGTTGGCTCTGATACCACTGTTGGGAATGGTATAGGGAAGTCCAAAACCCTTTACAAGAGATACATCCATCAATTGACCAAATGATAAACCACAATAAGTGAGCCGACAACATATCTTAATCCAAAACCTTAAAACTGTAGGTTGTTGGATCTTTTACACTTATATGGTCCTCAATTGGTCCAAGTCTAGACTATATGAGACTTATTTCACCAATACTCATTCACACTTGATTATTTCCAACAGTAGCACTATGAAGTATAAGTCAAGGAGGTTATCGTTAAGGCCTCAATGAAAATAGACGAATAAACTCAGTTATGGCCGATGAGAATAGAATTTGATAGAGTTTTAGTAATATGAGCAATAGAGATCAAGATGCTTTTTCTGGAGAGGTGATGAGATATTTATAGCAGCATTTTAAAACTTCGCCGGTCATCCACTCGGTCGAGGTACTGAGTTATTGAATTATTGGTTCAAATTGATGTAAATGAAAAAAAAGAAAACAAATATGAACTTCCACAACTGGTTTAATTAAATTAATATTAGATTATATAATAAATATATTATAAGATACATTTTGACCAACAATTAAGAGTAACTTAGTGATAAGTGGTAACATCACTCACTCCGATAGACTGGATTCGATTCCCAGCCACACTTGAAGTTAGAATATTTTGTCCAAAATTTATGTTAAATTATATAATAAATATATTATAAGATGCATTTTATGAAACAATTGAGAGTAGCATAGTGATAAGTGGTAACACTACTCACTCATATTATTTTGTCTTATTTTTTAAAAACAAGTTTAAGGGGAAAAATTTTTGTTTACAATTACCACATCTATCAGTTCCTCCATGGCCTCTTCTCTGTTCACACGATCTTTCCTACCTTCAGGGTTGTAGTTCCTGTAGAATAATAAAACTTTTTTCATTTAATATTTCTTTTATTAAGAATTGGAAGGATTATTAAGAGATTTTTGGAGATATAACAAATCTTAAATCAAAATCAAAGTACACCACCAATTTATCTATGATTCATTTTCCAACTATGTGGGTTTAGTGGACAATGCTCAATGCGTAGACAATTCAAAAGTCAAAATTCAACAACCAATGGATGCACTGATTCCAAAATATTAATAAGTCAAGGGCTCAATGCCCAACACCTACTGTTGAACTTTGCACTACTTTGACGTGGTTCAAAAACATGGTAATTTGTTGCACAAGCACGCACCATTGCCAAAGTGATTCATATGGATATAGCCTCTATGATTCCTTGTGGAATAAACCCAAATCAATTATCTAGGTAATATGGTATACCTTAATGCCATTTCAATTAATAATAACGCCAGAAAAAAAAAATACTGAAAATCAAAGCATAGCAATCATTCCAAATTTTCAATGACAAATTTTAGCTAATTCAGATAATCCCATAAACCAAAATTCAAACTTTAAATAATAAAAGGAAGGAAACTTTTACCATGGAGGAGCATAATGTGTGCGATCAGTGACATTTTCAGAGGTTGATATGCAATTGTTAGTTGCTGGACACAGTGCCAGTGCTGGTGGATTTTTCTGTACTCCAAGATAATCAGGCTTTTTACCACTACACCAAACACAACATTCAAAATAATGTTTTTTCACTTGTTTCCAAAAGAAATCATAAATACAATATTCATAAAATGTGGTCAGAATTTCCCATCAAGTAATCAGAATATATCTTGAAGGAAGAAGAGGTACATTTTATTTCAAGAAATTAAAGAACTTCAAATATTATAATAAGAAATTATATAATTTTGATCAATTCTCATTGCCAAAACAAAGCAATGCATGCACCTAAAGTTGAAGATGGCACCAATGGTTGCTAATTCTCCACTCCTCGGCATGAGCTCTCTTTAAGACAGGAACAACTTGCAGTGAGAGAAATATCAGAAACTAAAGGCATGCATGAATGGTACAATATATTCATGAGGTGACAAAGGGAGAGTGAGAACCTTCGTTTGATTTGATCGATGGGAATCTTGCTATCAAACTTCTGATAGAGTTGAAAACGAGGACAAGATGGACCATTTTTGTGTTTGATGATGTGAATGTTGAAGTTGAAAAAGGTGCTACAAAGTGCCATAGTTAGAAGCTGAACGTGAAGGGGAGAACCAATGCTAAAAAGCAATATGTAGCAATTTTTAAGTGTATGTGCCGGAAGTGGGCACTTCATGGACTTATTACCGTAAAAGCACTATTTAAGGAGGATTTAGATCTTCTCATGTTAAAAAGTGGTCATGTGATCATGTTATTTAATCACAACCATATGCTTTTTTATGTCAACTTCTCACAAAAAGAGGTAATCATATGAATTTGGATCCTAAAAAAAATAAATATTAATAACTATTGGTTCAAGCGCTAATAAGTTTGTTCCCCTTAATTAGAGCTCTTAAATACGAACTTATGAATTAAGAAAATAATCATAAGAGAGCCACCTCATATAATAGGTCTGACAGTGCTCAAATCAGATTAATTGGTTAATCAATGAACAAACAAGTGTATATATATATATATATATATATATATATATATATATATATATATATATATATATGAGGAATGTTATATTTACAAACTACACTAAGTATGACCGGTCATACTTCAATCAAGAGTGTATAACCGGTCATACTTAGTGTAATTTGTAAAAAAAATTTGTAAACGGATCCTTCCCCTGTATATATGGGAAATATATATAGCTCTCATGTTGTACGAGAAATTTTCTTCTCCTGTAATGAATTAACAATATGTACTACCGATAGTACATATTTAGAATTTTAAAAACTATTTTTTTTTTCTCTCTCTCCTTCCTCAGAGGCTGTTCGCTGACGTGGCAAAGAGGGAAAAATCAACTTTAATATTACAATTATGTATTACCGGTAGTACATAGTGTTAATTGGTTGCAGGAGAAATTTATTTTCTTCTCCTACAACATGAGAAGCTGGAGACCATATATATATATATATATATATATATATATATATATATATATATATATATATATATATATATATATATATATATATATATATAGGGGTAGGGTCCTTTGAAACTGGTGTCAAATTTAAAGTTTGAAGTTTGACACCTCATTTGAGAGCTGTTAGATCAAAAAAGATCAACGACTCTGATTTGTAAGCATGTGACACTATTGATCTTTTTGATTTAACGGCTCTCAGATGAGGTGTCAAACTTTAAACTTTAAAATTTGTTTATTTATTTCCTTATATTAATTGATTCACCTTTGAATGATTATGATTTCTTTTCTCTCTCTTTCTTTATCACCATTGATCCATCTTTGTACAGTTATGATTTAGTAGCCGAAGATAAAATTATTCCAAACAGCTTGAGAAACGATAAGCCTGTATATATATATATATATATATATATATGTATATATATATATATATATATATGTATATATATATATATATGTATATATATATATATATATGGATTCGCTTTTTCTACAGTTACTGCAGATAAATTATCTGCAGTAAGCCCAATATGACGTCGTTTTGAGGCAAAAATCATGATTTTTTTGTAATTTTAATTTATTTCATAGTTAGTATAGTCTTTATAATTATAATTTTTTAATATTTCAATTCCAAAACGACGTCGTTTTGGGAGTAAATGCAGATAACTTATTCGTAGTAACTGCAGAAATATTTTTCTGTATATATATATAGGGGGAAGTTATACTTATAACTTATTTTCGTTTACAACCTCTTAAAACCATATCTTAACCGTTGATTTCCGTCAATCAACGGTTATCATTTATTGTGAATTAATAATTAATTAATAAATTTGATTTGCGAAAATCTTAACCGTTGATTGACGAAAATCAACGGTTAAGATATGATTGTAAGATGTTGTAAACGAAAATATGTTGTAAATATAATATTCTCCTATATATATATATGTGTGTGTATAGGGGTCTACATTTCTGCAGCTGCTGTAACAATCAAATATTTGCCATATATATTTGAAATCATTAAATGCGGAAAATCATAACTATACAAAGTATAAAAGCATGAAATGTGGAGAATCATAAGCATACACCTATTGTTGCTGTACGTAAAGTGGCTACAGAAATAATTTTACCATATATATATATATATGGCAATATTTTTTTCTTTTTAGACGAGAGAAGAAATTGACACAGATTTTGATTATGTGTGAAAACAATTCTTCTCTCTTGTAAAAGAATAAAAGTATGTTATCAAAAAATAAAAATAAAAATAAAAGTATTGTCCTTAAATCTTTTTATGACTTGGGTAAGAATAGATGTGCACACACCTACAAAAAGCGTGTGAGCGCGGCTTTTGCGCGTAAAGTAGTGCTGTACGAGAGAGGTAGTAAAACTATTTGCGTGTGACATTTGAAAGTTAAAGAAATTATTAGGTCAGCAGTCTATTTACGACGAGCATAAAAAAACATTATTTAGAGGCAAGTATATTTTTAACATGATTCACATAAATTTATACATGTTTAATATTAAACCAAATTTTGTTTACTTAAAAATTTCTAGAAGTGTAATTGGATTGTAGGTTTTCAACGATATTGATTTTTCTGATATTGTTTATATAATTTTGGTTGTGATTAGTGAAATATTTTTTGTGTAGACATAGACGAATTACATTATTATTATTATTTTTACTTTGTAATTCCATTGTGTTGAATTTCTTTGAAATACTTTATTGGGAAGTGGATTATCCAAACACACAATCGAAATTTGAGTCAAATATTTATATGTGTATTTATTTTTCTTAATTTTAATTAGTTCATATCATAACTTAATACAACTTATACAAATCTCTTATCAAATATATTTTATTTTTCTAATAGGGCAAATTATAAATTTTAGTCCGGGTCAAATTATAATTTTAAACCGAGCTAAATTATAATTAATTATATAATTATATATGATGGGTCAGATCATTTTACACCAGTGTAAGTTATACTTTCAATCTTGTCCGTTGATCTCACTTATATCTAAGGGCTCTAATTTTTTAGTAATGAGAGCCATTGGATACAAGTGAACCAATGGTCAAGGTTGAGTGTAAGACTTCTAACTCTTAGACCGGTGTAAGAATATCTTGCCCCATATAGAATCAGGATCATTTTATACCGAGTAAGACTTAAATTTTAGCCCAAGCATTCCGCCACTGAGGCATTCGGTGTGATGTGCTTCAAATATGAAATGTTTTACTGTAATTTTGAGTAGCCTACTAAACAATTTAGATTTTTTTTTGGGGGGTGCGAAATGCTTTAGATTAATCAATTACAAAGTTAATATGATTACATAGACTCAATTTGTGTCATATATCATGTTTTAATTAACATTTTATGTCACCCTTAAAATACATTAAAAAAAGCTCTACTAACCAAATGAAATTTGTGTCATCGATGACACTTGGAATCCAGATTCTATTTTTGGAAGTCATAGTTGTTGGAAAATTTTATTTATGTGGGCAATATTAATTAAATAATTTTGTGTTATAAATTTAATTTGGTTAATGGATATTCCAGTTCTATTTCGTTATTCAAATTACATATATATAATGGAAACTCTAGGCCACAATAAGTATTCCATGTGTATAATTATAAATTGTTATTCAAATTTTGTTATACACGAACAAAGTGTCATACTCACTGTTAAAAAATAATAAGACTTGCTCAATTAAATTAAATGAGTGAATTCAAAGACTATATCCCTATTTTTATATGAAAATATATAACTATGATTTGAGTGAGATACAATACAATCCAATAAGCAAATAACGATAATTATAACAAGCATGACTTTGTAACATAAAACATATATATTTAAAGGGGTCTGCATTTGTCATTTAACATGACACAACAAACTTTTCTACACACACAATATTTTATGGAGCCCACACTTTTTGAAGAAAAAAGAAAAAAAATTACGGCACACAAAACGAATCTCTATAACATTATAGAGTCACTTTTCCTACAACATAATTTTTATAAAATTCATATTTAAATCAAACATATGTGCGCTCGAGCGCAAGGAGGTATTGGTATTGCTTTTCGACCCTTGTGCAAATTGCCTTGTCATTTTGTTATTATTGCTTTTGCAAGTAATCATTTTGTTTTTTTTTTAAATATATTATTTCATTATTATTTTCACTATTAATATATTGCCTTGTCAGTTGTCACAACCATTTGATGTTTTACAATGATATTGCTTTATTTTATACTTATTTTTCTTCATATGTATTTTTACAACTCGTTACTTTTTTTTTTTTTTTTTGATAACACAACTCGTTACTTTATCATCATCATTTAATGTTTTTCGATAATATTCCATCATATAATTGGATAATTAAAATAAGAGAATAATTTATTTGATAATATTATCAAATTGATTCCTACTCACCATAAATTTTTCTTTCTTTCTCATTTTTTTTTTCATGGATATACTCAACAATACAGAAAGTGGTTGTTTAATCTTTGTGTACTCCTTGCTTCCTTTCTTAAATAAATTAATAATGAGTTTATTTTTTCTAAAGTTACTTTAGATAACTTTATCTAATGTTCATCGAAACGACGTCATTTTGAGACGAAAATCATGGTATTTTTGTAATTTTAATTTATTTCAGGGTTATAATAGTCTTTATCATTCTAATTTTTTAATTTTTCAACTCTAAAACGATGTTGTTTCGATGAACGTTAGACAAAATTGTCTAAAGTAACATGAGATATTTTTTTCTCATTAATAATTAGATAAGAGTTATTTATAAGCTCTAATATAGTGTCTTGCATTATTTTGGACTTTATTTATTTATTTCTTTTTTTGGAAAATTCAAACTTGTAATTGTGAATAACTTCTGCGCTTAGAATTTTTTTTTTCCCGGTAAACCAGAATTTATTACTTTAACTATATTTCCGTTATATCATATTAATTGTAAAGAGTGTCGTGAGGAAACTATAGTAATATATTTTTATGTGATTGATTGTGATATTTCCTAAAAATTACCTTGTATCTTTATTATTTTTTCTAGCAAATGTTATGTTTACACCATTTTCTATTTGTAATCAACTCCTACACTTAACTTTCTTGCATATACTTGTTTTTTTTTAAATTCTTTTATTTAACTCAATACCACTCAACCCAATTTTTTTTATTTTCTCGTTAATTTTAGTTTGAGTTACGTTCTGTACAAGATAAATTATAGAAACAAAAAAATCATTCTAATTTTGTGAAAGAAACATTACCTTTATTTTGAATTTTACAAATCATTAATTAAATCTAATAAGGAACAAAATTTGAGTAAAAGCTGCCCGTCTAGCTCAGTCGGTAGAGCGCAAGGCTCTTAACCTTGTGGTCGTGGGTTCGAGCCCCACGGTGGGCGTTTCGTTTTTGTTACTTGGGTCTTATTTATGTCCTTTTCTCTTTATAAGCCCCTTTAGCTTCATGCCACAGCCACTTCACGTTGAAGCTACACTTTACATTGTAGCATCGTACTTCCATTAAGTGCCACATAATTCTCTAAAATACCTCTTCATGTTTTCACAACACCTTGAACAATAGCTCTTTGAGTATTGTTTAAGTTTGGCTAAGAGCAAAAAACGAAGTGTTTCAGTGAATTTTGTTGCAATTCTTGTTAACTCAGAAAAAATATTTGGAGTTCAAACCAAGATTTCAAGTTACTTCCCAATCAAACCATCTCCAAGATTTGAAACTTGAAAAGGTATAATAATGTCTTCACCATGGTGCAGAAAATATGAAAAAGTTTTTTAAATAAGGGACATACTGTTGCCACTAGCAACATGTCCAATATGTCATCTTCCATAGATACTAACATTAGCACTATTCTCTCATCACCCTCATCATTCACGTCAGACTCATTAGCACAACCAAAACCAACAACATTATCTATATGCGTATACAAATTATTTGTCACAAAATTCGGTGTAAGATTCAAGTCTAAGCTAAGCAGCAACAGAACGACTTGTGCACCGATTTCAGCTCATCCTGGTTTTGTCATTCAACTTTGCATGATATTATGCAAGCTTTAATCAAGTTGTAAAAATGACTGAACAACCAAAGAGGAAGAGACCAAAGCTGAGAACTTTTGAAGCATCTCTCTTCAACATAAATTACTTGTCATTAAGTACTCAGGCATGCTACGATGGCAATTGGTGCATTCAGGATTAGAGGATCGATGGAGATGCCCACAACTTGACTTTCTTGTCAGAACTGGCTGTGGCTAAAACCAAGACTTGTTCATTTCCTGTAAAAGGCACCACAATATTTAAGATGACAAAGAAAAAAAAAGTACATGTTGGTTAGCATAAGATACATTGTAGGCATCATATTGATGGAAATACAAACACATGTCCACAAAATCCAAACATATCTTGGTATTCCTCACATTTTAAGTCAAATTCATTGTACAGTTATCTACATAATTGGCATTATCTTCTAACACTGCCTAGCAAACTCAAACTACATGAGAAAGATTTGAACGAAAATTTGTGTGCCAATAATGGAAATATGTTGGGAAAATTAAATTATGTAAAGAACCGAAAGGAATGGAGTCAGATTAACAGCTTTACCCATTGGAACAGTTTTAGGAGCCCATGAAATGCATGTAATGTCACCTGCAAGCGAAGAAAATAATCAATGAATTGAAGATCTTAGATAGAAGATTACTTGACTTTTTAATTGCAAGAATGGGAAATATCAAAAGGTTGATGCTTGGCCATACCATCATGGGCTTTTTCAGCTGTATCCAAAACCCTTCCAGTCTCAACACATAACCACTGCAATGTTGAACCATGGGTTGCAGCCAAAAATTTTCCATCAGGGGAAATACTAAGGCGATCATAGTGCAATGTAGTACCGGTAGAATCATGAAGAGGAATCGGGAACACCTTCAGTGTCTTTGGATCCTCATCAAGATGATAGCGAACTTCAAGATAAAACAAAAAAAAATACAGGTGAGAAGAGTTGAATAATTAAAAGCCGAGACCTTCAGAAAACATTTCCATAAGAATCCTACTTCTTTGATTAAATAACAAGCACATTTTTCTCTAACTATGGCTAAAGAAAATAACTTTGGGAAATTAAAATATGTCCATTTTCAGCCATAGAATCACATCAAAGTACTACTTTGAATTCTTCATTAATAACATCGCCATGTAACTTTTCTCTTGAGCCTTTAAAGTTTACATTATTAGCAAGTGCAGGTTACTGTGTGGGCATGAGATTTTGCTAGAAAAATAATACTAATTTGACAAGTGAAATATAATAATCATCGTAAAATTTTGCTTACCATTGATATTCCAGATTCTTATTGAACCATCCTTAGATGCTGTGATTATTTGCTCGGAGTTTGGGGCAAAGCATAACCAAGTCACTGCACTCTGACACAAAGAGAAGTAATAAAATCATTGTAAAAAAAATGATGATGATGAAAAATCCAGGAGGAAATGAGGATGCTAGTGAACTATAATTTATTTCATTTTCAATCGCCTTTGAAAAAATTAAATAATGCTAAAGCGAGCTATTTTTCCTTTATGCCCCAGGGAAAAATAACATTAAGTTATACTCGTGAATACACTTGATTTAGTACTTGAAATACATAAGAAATTTAGAGTAAGATAAAAGTAATCCAAATTTATGTATAGAGCCTATAAAGATTCATGTGAGAAACTAAAATAAAAAAGTTGAAAAATCACCCTTTATTCTATTGTTTAAATTGTAAACCACCCATACATATATGGATTAGGATCTGTCAACATGTAAATCAAATAATGATGTTTCACAAAATCCATAGTTGAATTGAAAGATTGCGTCATGCACATCATACTCATAAAATTTCCATTAATCCAAGATAATCTAATATAATACATGAAAATATAAGATTGTACTGCATCAAAATAAATGAAAATTAGCGCAAAATATAGCTCACACATAAATGAAAATCTGATGCATTTGATGGAAAGTATAATGTAAAAATTTCGGGCTTGCAAAATCGACACATGTCAAAATGGGACCTTAATTTAAAATTGAAATCACCCAACAAATGATAATACTAATATTAAACCTTATGCCCCTTAAGCTGCATAGCTTTTGAAACTTCCTTGACAGATCCATCCTTTGCATATACAATCTCCCACACCTGGCAGACATTGTAAACAAGCAACAGTGAAGAACATATTAAGCATTAGTAATACAGAAGCAGTAAAATTCTGATACGATTTTTCAATCAGAATCAATGAAAACAGACTACTTGAGTCTCTCAAGTCAAGTTTCTCCCTCAAATCCTTTTTTTCTCGCTGGCCACAATATTGAAAATTGCTTGGGTCCACAATTGCAGATTAACCATTCATTGAGTTAAAGTAAAAGGTGTTATACTTATATGTCTAGAGAGAGAGAAACAATAGATAATTACAGATAGCAAGAGAACAATGGAGAATGAAGGTGGTTGGATATACAAAAGCAGGAAAAGAATAAGAAGCATGGCAAGTTACTTTTAAGTTGAAGTGCTCAAATATATTTATTTTTGAGATTACCAACTTTTCCACACAGCAATGTTTATAGCAACAATTTACCATAAACTGCATACAAACATCAATAGAAGTCAAGAATAACCTTATGAGTCAGTTAACATCTTCGCCATGTTGCTTATTCCCTTTTTTCAATTGAATTGTAATAAATGCAATACAAAATCAATTTTCAAGGCCAGAACCAAATGGATTAAAACTGACTGGATGCAGCCTCGTTGCTGAGGTGAAGATAAGGAATAAACCTGGATCAATCCCAGCTCGTACTGGTTATGTGTGTGTGTGTGTGTCTCTCTCTGTGTGTGTGTGTGTGTGTGTGTGTGTGTGTATACATAAAATATCTTAGTAACTCCAAATAAATTACATAAAAATATACATTAAACATCACCTTAACATCTGCAGTAAATGCTGCAGCTGCAATAAAACGTCCATTGGGTGATATGCCAGCCATGTTATTTTTCAATTGATTTGTATCCACATGCCCCACATTCTTCCCAGTTTTTCCATGCCAAAGAATGATGTCAGTCCCTGAATTAGAAATCAAACTTTAGGACAGAGGTTTCAGAAAGACACCATCAAGCATTATATCTCAGCATAAAGATAGTGCCAATAATTTCATGCTATTTGAAATACAAGTATAAAACATAATGCATTTGATTTCACTAGTAGCAGAAACCTCATGCCAGAACAAAATTTTAGTTAATAATTTAATGTCTCAGCATAAAGGTGTTGTTGATGTTGATGTTGATTTAGAAGTGCCTCGTTAGGTGATATAATATAGAGTTGGTAACTTAACCATTTACAGTATTTTAGTGGTAAAATATACAGGTTTAGAGAAGTAAAGACAACATAAATAGCAATGTATACTCTATTTAAATCAGTTTGTGGATCTTTAGCCACACAAGAGTTTCTTTTTCCACAAGCTATTTCGAGTTAAAATTGAAATTCCCTTCATACTTGCTGCATACATTTAGGTGAGAAGACCACAAATACATAGATTATGACAGAACATACATTTTCTTTATAGTTTCCAATTGGGGATGATGTAAAAAATATACCTTCTGAACATGAGACAATAATTGTACTTCCATCAGCACTGCCATAACTTGCGGAGGTTCCATACAGAGTCAATATTGCTTTTTTATCATGAACTTTGTGATGTTCCCACTTAATATCAGGGAGAGGAAGCTTTGTTTGTGGCTTATTTTCAGAAGTTTTAGGTTTCTCTTCTCCATACATGTATAATGAACAACCAGAGAGCGTATTAGATGCCACAACCATGGATGATGCATCATCAGAAAATGTAACTGCCGTTGGATGACTTCCAGCAGGCAAATTAATTCTATGAAACCTGCAAACGAGTTAAGAGAATAAAATTTATACACATGGAACATGCTTGAGATTAAGATGATATGTATATGTATCAAGAGGCTCTTGAAATTCACATACTTGAAACTTTTACTTGAAGCATCATCCAACTTAAATACTCTCACCACTCCATCAGCACAAGCTGTTGGCACAGACAATATATTGTAAGAAATTAGGAACAAATGTTTCATATATTATGCTCAACTGCTCATACAAGTGAAGTTTTTTTTAAAAAAAAAAAAGGGGGAAAAAGACCATTAGAACAGCTAGGAATCTTTTGTCATAGAAATCTAGAAAAGAAAGAAGGAAAAATACGTGTTCAAAAATGTAATTAATTAATGACAATAAGACAAATAAATAAGGAGGCAAAAAATTCTGGGAAATATGCAAACTTTGCAGTTTCTTGGTGCAATTGGCTGGAGCAGTTTGTCCACAACTTCGACTGTAAATTTTTGTCTCTTAAACATGTTATGATCTCATAGGATAAATTATGTTTATGGCTGCTCAGCTCACAGTGTTTTACGGATGTATAATTTCTTATATGAGAGAGATTGGTTAGCTCTGTTGTGTTTTAAAGCCATTTTGACCCTTCTTCTTGTCTTAGTTTCTTTATTTTGACGGGTAAGTTATTTTCCCCCTAGTTATTGTTTTCCCTCCACTCTAAAATGAAGTTTCTTGTTTTATTAAAAAAAAAAAGAATAATAAACAAGTCAACAATAAGATCAGGATGGGCTTTTCGTAGTTGTGGGAAATGAGTAGAATTAGAATTGTAGAATAAAAAGATGTGCATCAACCATTTCTGTTAAAAGCCCTCAAGAAAGAGAACTGCAAAATAGAGAGAAATAGAAAAAAAGAGAACAAATCTGCAAAGGTTTATTGAATCTCAACAGAAAAAAATGAGAGAACTCTCCTTCCAAGGATTTCCCCTTCAACAAAGAGTTCCCCTTTTACAAGGGAAGTAATGCTCGGTTTTCTGACGCTAACAATTCAAAATAACCATCTCTTCTATCCCCTCCTACTATTTAAGCTAAGGCCTTGCTTGTACAACTCTAACCACCAAACTAATTCTATAAACATGTTGTCCTGGGTCCTATCAACTTCATAGACACTACTTACTTGAATAATATACAGAGAAAAATAGAGCCATGAAGACGGCTCTTACGGTTTGTGTGCGCGTGTGCAAATAGTATATGAGCATTTCCATGAAGGTTGATGAAATCAACTTAAAAGGCATTAAACTTAAAACACAATTACATATATCTACTGTAAACAAATATGTTAGAATACCTGTTGCTAAATTTCGGCCATCAGGGGAGAAGCATATGCCTGTAACTGCATCTCCATGGCCTTTCAAGGTGTTCAAATCCAACGGATGATGCCGCTTGTTTTGATCCTAATGTTCCATAAACAAAAGTTTAATCCAACCAAAAACCAAACCATAAAATAAATCACAGCAGATTTGCTGGTTCTCCAAATACATTGTGTTTTACTCATAAGGCTTTTCAGCTTACAAACTCTACGCCTACTCATATTTTTAACAAAAAACACCACAACAGCTGAGGAGTATAAATCCACAGCAACAACTGAAGACCATTAAGCTATCCCAAAACCCATTTTAATGAAAGAAAAATTAGAATTTCTTATCTATCAAATCAGAAATTAACTTAAAATTTACACAAAACCATACTTAGTAATACTTGATCAACATTTTAACAAACTTCAGACTACAACTAGAAAGTAAGCTTTTTCCACTTAAATCCAATAACCCATCAATGCAATCCAAACCCCCCAAAAGAAAAGCAAGCTTCTGAAACAACAAGTGAATTACTCAATTTTCACAAACACTACAGCAAACCAGCAATATAGAGAAAATAAATAAATAAATAAATAAATAACTCAGTTACCAATACCACTTTCCAGAGACATCCTTAATAGGAAAAGTAAGCTTCTTTCACTCAAATCCAACATCCCATTAACATCATCCAAACCCCAACACTTGTAAACTAAGAAATTACTCAGTTTTCTCAAACATAAGGGCAAAACAACAATACAAAGAAAAAAACCCAGTAGCGAGTACCTCATTCCAGACATACCCACAAGAGGAAAAGCATTAATTTGTTTATTTTATTTATTATTTTTGTTTTTCTTATCACTTAAAGCCAATGCATGTAAACCCAAGAATTCAAATTCATTAAGAACCCAATTGGTTTTAGAGGCAAAAGCGAAAAACCGAATTGGAAAAGGAAAAGACCTTATCAGAGGAATGGGGTTTGGAGTGAGATTTCTTGGGAGGAGGGGGTTTGGAGGATATTGGGTTCGGATCCGGATTTGCAATGGATCGGACCTCCGATTGGCGCTTGCGAAAGTAAGTGTTGAAGAAGACGAAGGCAATTATGGCACCCAACAAAAGCGACAGCGCCACAATGGGTAACACTGGATCCATTTCTTCACACTTCTAATGAGAGAGAGAGAGTTTTGATTTGTATCGAAACGACACAGGTTAAGGTTTTGGGGGGAGGGGGGTTTACACGACACGACAATGGAAGAAGACCATTGTTTGCCTGTTTGGGCGTTGCACACGTGGATTCTTAATAGACTCTTCAGCTGCATGTTATGATATTCGCGGTCTGGATTGGATCGATTTTAGAAGTAAAAATTATTCGATCTAATTCTTTTGGTTTGATCATATAATCATCTATTCGGTTTGAATTTTTTTTCAAATCTGATCCGATCCAATCCAATTTTTTTCAGTTTGGATTTGATCGATTTTCGATTTTTTGAAAATCCTAAAATTTATTTCATGATTATTATGCAAAATAACATCTTTTGTATATATTGACTTTGTAAATTATTATTTTTTTAAATACAAAAGCATTAGTAAACTATAATATAGTTTTTTTTTAGCAATAAGATATGAAACTCTACAAATATAAAATTGTTGATGAGATGTGACTAGATTTTTTCTTGAGTTTAGTTGATACCCAATGAGTCTCGGGTTTAAAAACTTTTGACCTATGATTGTGGAAAGATTCAAGTAGGTATAGGAGAATTAATATATTGGATCGATTTGGATTGGATCGGTTTTTATCAACCCATCCAAAAACAAAAACCGATCTAATCCAATTAAAATTTGCGATTTTTTTTCAGTTTTCGATTTTTCGGTTTTTGGTTTATTAGTTTATCGATTTTTCGGTTCGGTTACCGCGGTTTGAATCGGTTTGGATCGGTTGATGAATACCCCTAATTTTGGAGTTTCGATAAATGGAAAATTATTTCTGCTTTAAACTCTTTTAGTTTTTTTATTTTATGTAATTTTGATAATCCATAGATATAATATGAAAAATTACTTTGTTTTCTCTCTTCTCAATCACATCTTATGTAAAAAGTGAAAAAAAAAACAGTTTTAAATGTTATAATTATGTACTACGGGAGTATATAGAGTAAAAAAATTAAAAGGACACAACTTATATCATTTAAAAGGATACATACTAAACCCTTGGATAAAATTTTGGAAATATAATTTGTTATGTTTGTCTCATATATATGTGATTAATATTTTGAGCTTATCGTTTCTCAAGCTGTCGGAGATAATTTTATCTCCGGCCAGTGGCGGAGCCAAAATTTTATTTTAGTTGGGGCCAAAAAATTTGACACGTCAAATTATCAAAACATTTATCGTAATTACACAAATCTATTAGGAAAAAAATTTACCATGAATTCTAGCATGTTTATCTAAATTATTTACTAAATAATGTCACATAATATTGAAAATTCAAATAAATAATAGGCAACTATTATATATCAAAGCAAACGTATAAAAAAACTAACCTGGGATTTGCCTAATAATTCATTTTGCTCATAAAGAAACCAAATTGCAATACGGCATGGTTGCACATAGGGGTGAAACTGGGTCGGGCCGGCCTACAAGGGCCTACGGCTCGGCCTATGTCAGGCCAGACCTGACCTGACCCAGTATATTTCGTAAAATAAGCCGGGTTTGGGCTATGAAAAAACTTGTTTAATAATAGGCCGTAGGCCGACTTTCACAAGGCCTGGCCTATAAGCCTACGAGCCGGCCTATATTGTATTATTTGTTTTAAATAAAATAAAATAGGATAAGTATGCCTTGAAAAAACAAGAAATATAAATTTAATCAACTGTAATTATTTATAACTCAATTATATTCGATTATATTTTAATAAAAATCTGACTTTATTTCTTATCTAGGAGGAAACAATATCTCAACATGTTAGATTGTGTATATGAATATATTAAAAGGTTTTTAGGAGAGCTTATACTTACTACAAGCATCATGATGTGTTCGTTGGATTCATGTAATTATTTTATTTTACATAGTATGAATTTGTTTGTTGGAGCTGATGAAATATATGTTCTTTAGCTTGAGCATTTTGTTTTTGAAAGTGAGTTAAGTGCAAATTATGATGAATTTTGTTGTGATTCATGATTATGTTTGGACGTTAAAATTGTGATTTTTGGTTTAGCAATGAAATTTGAGTATTTTGTGAAGTTGATTCATGATTCTGCTTGGAAGTTAAAAATTAACAGGCTAATGTGCTAGACCAGGCCATTTGTTTTTTTATAAACGGGTCAAGTCAGGCTAACAGTTAGACTCGTATTAGGCTTGAGCCAGGTTAAATTGAAATTTTTTGACATAAGTTTGAACTTTTCAGGACAAAGCTTGGCTCAGCCCAACCCACTTTCATCCCTAGTTGCTCATACAAGATCATATTAATAGAGATAATCATTTAAGAAAATAAAAGTTTTTAATTGATTTTTTCACAAACGTCAGAGAGGTAGCTAACATAGAGGTCAGCTAAAATTGTTTGGCGGTGAAAGGGAGCTAGACTAACAGCGAACAGGGATTGGGTACCAAAAAAAAAAGAAAAAGAAAAATAATAACCCAGAAAATCACTTAATGGACTGTGGATAAACCAAGATGAGCTCTTATTTTGGTTGCCATGTAAGTGAAACCAAGAAGAAGAAACTCACTTCCAAATAGCCAGGTTATGGTTTAAAGACCAAACCTGAAACGTGTTGTAGCTCAAACCGAGAAGAAAAGAAGTCTTTGCTGTAAGGATTGAGACCAAGACTCCAAGTTAAGACTGTGATGCCACTTCAAATATTGAAGGAAACACTAAAAAAACAAAACACTTAAAAGGCACTCTACTCTGACAAGCAAATCTTCACAAAATAAAATCAATCACAAGAAAATTAAAAAAATTTCAGAATAAAAAAGCACCAATTTAAGAGCAAATATCATTGGAGTTTTGAACTTTGAGAGGACCGCGAGAACAAGAAGACACCCGTGCGCTGGGTTTTCAACTCCACTAATAGTGTATTAAGTTATTAGCTAAGAGACAAAGAGCATAGAATGGGCTAAATTTTAACTTTAGAATGGGCTAAATAATAATTAATTATATAAATATATATAATAATAATTTTTTAAAGAAGTCAACAGGGGCCCTGGCCCCATCTAGGGACTACGTGGCTACGTCACTAGGGGTGCTAAACGAGCCAGGGGCCTTTGGCTCGGCTCGTGAAGGCCTGAGCTTACATGTCTAAAATTGATTATTGGACCCAAGCTTGGACTTGTATAAAAGCTCGTTTAATAAAAAGGCCTTAGGCTCCAATTTAAAAGCTCGGCCTTAGAGCCTCTCAGGCTTACCTAATATATTTTTATTTTATTTTATATTTTTTATACTACTTGTGATAACACTCTCTCTTCTCAATTCATTTCATCCCATTTTATTAATTAAATAGAATTTTTGAATGATTTTATTTTATATTATGCTATTTGGATATACATTAAATTTATGAATATTTATGGAATTACTAGTGCTGTTGATTGTAGATTTTGTTTGGGTAAATTTTTGTTGTTTTATTTTTTTAAAACAGGCTAACAGGCTAAACCAAGCTTTTATTTTTTGTAAATGAGCCAGACCACATACTAATATTATATTCGTAACAGGTAACATGCTAAGGTCAGTCTGATACATTTGAACACAGGCTCGGCCCGTTAAGACCAAAATTCGGCTCGGCTCGGCTCGTTAACACCCCTATACGCCACTGTCTCTGGCTACTCAATCATAACCATACAAAGATTGATCAATGTTGATAAAAGAAGAGAGAAAAAAAGGGAATCATAACCATTCAAAGGTGAATCAATTAATATAAGGAAAGAAATAAATAAAACGACGTAATTTTGGGGTGACTGGAGATAAACTTATCTCAAGTTGTCGGAGAAATATTTTTCCCTAATATTTTTCATAATATTTTTATTTCTTACATATATATTTGATATAAGTATGTGAAACTCATATTTTTTTTTTCTCTTTCTTTCCTTTATATATGGCCTCATATAGCCCCATACAAATTTATGTGTATGTAGGAGATAATTTTATCTCCTATAATATGAGAAACATTAATCTCATATGGGTGTTATTAATCTTATGTTATATAAGATAAATATTTTATGTGGATGAAATAAAGTAGTGAGGCACATAATTTAAAAAAAAAGAAAAATAGACATAAAATTTCATGAGTGTCCAATATCAGTGGCGGACCTATTCCCTTGCAATTGACTGCAAGTGCACCCATAAAGTTTACCTCCCGGACTTTTTTTTGTACTCCTTTAATGGTTTGAAAAATTGCACTTGTCACTTTCGGCTTCCTTCTCTTCCTCATCGTTTGTGCGTTGTTGTGCACGTGCTTGCTTGACACACATGTGAGTATTCTAATACCTCTCCATTCAAAGTTGATTGGTTCAAAGATTTTACTATTTTTAAGGTTAATTATTTTATTTTATTTTAAAAATTTAATGTTAGTTATTTGTTCAGGTCCTAATATTCCAGGACCTTATTCCTTCGTCCATCACATTGTAATTTTTTTGGAAGAAAAGACATAACGAAGGGAGGAAATGGTGACCCTTTTGGGTGCACATATTGTTAGTGTTGCATACTATCATTTCTTTTCTACTAGACTTGGTGGGTTACCTGATTAGTGGCGAACCTATTATTGCACACTTGTTCACAATTTTTTTTATTTTCAATGCATTTAAAACTTTGTTTAAAAAAAAAAAAATCAAAAAACGCTGCCCCCAAACCTCAAAACCCCAACAATAAATGTGCAGACATAAATAAAAAATTTTAAGTCTGCCACTACCCAATATAATATAACTATCCTACATGACATAGGAAAATTATTTTCCAATATATATTCTATCTACGTAAATTTAAAAAATTTAAGAAAAAAATAAGGTGTGACATGACATTAAAAACAACTCCAAATGAGTTTTTAATATAAGGGGATGGTTTTTTTTTTTTTTTTTTATACCCTTTTGTTTTTAATTAATTTTAAAATTATCCATCTGTCCCTGTATTAAACCATTTTATTCAGTTGTCCTGTTTGAGTGTAGACCGAGTTATGTACTAAAATATAGGATCTTGATACTTGAGTATATGTCATGTAAGAG